GATTATGGGAATCCAAACTAGCTGTCATGTAGAGTGTGGTTATTTTCAAAACCAGTGCTAAATTAGGCCAAGCTTGTACTAAAACTTGTACACAGGATGGTGGGGTTGGAAATTAGTCCTCCTCTCTAGGTAGATAACCCTTCAGGCTTTAGATTTTGCAAGTGTACAGCTTATGCCAGGTATAGAGGACACCGCCTTATGCCTCTTCACATACATAAAATCTATGTAGTAGTTATGTATGTTCTCTAACTGATTTTGTAAAGTCTGTTGAGACCTAACGGTGGAAAGAGGAAAATGATACTGTTTTCTGTCTGCATAAGGCTGCTTCTTGTAGGTACCAAAAGGTTTGAAAAATGCATTGCATCACACTCCTGTTGTGAAACATCGGAAAAAAAAAAGGCAAAAAGAAATAGTCCTTCCTAAAATGGCTCGTTCTGGTTTTGGATTTGTGTGTACTGCAAAGGAAAAGCAAGTGAACATCTGCAATTTCAATCCCGCGTGGCATGGACTAAGGCTGTAGACTTCGTTGCTGTGATCTTTTCTTCTTTTTAATAGTGCATGTAGCACAGGACTCTGTTCTTTGCCCTTTGTGGGACTTGGAGACTTTCCATGGTTTAATGTGAAAAAGGGCTGTTGCTGAAGGAGTGTACTCATCCAGTTCACTTTGAAGATGTGGCAGCAGAGTGTGTGTGTTTGTCTCCTTCAGGGGTGTGTCCCACAGCTGCCGGATGCCTTCACTTTCATGGATTTCCCCTTGCAACAGTTTGTGATTATACACGCCCAATTAGCGCCATCTCTGACACACACCCTGCAGGCACCATAGACAGCATCAAAAGGAATCACGGTGAGGCACTTGGTACCAGTTGAGGATTGAGAGGTTGGCTGTGCTCTGGTGTTTATTTGGAGCAGGGACTCCAGATAAAGTGCAACATCACAGCCAAATATTTTTCAGAAACATAAATAAGTCCTTAAAAGAAATGTGATTTTCTTTTGGATGACAACATCGTTGCATCTCTGTATGAGTTCACTGAGGGCAGAGCTAAGGCTGCCTGAAGTATCTTATGTCTATTTCCATAGCTGGTAAAATGGCTTCATTTTATAGGTAACTTGCACTGCAGTCTTATTCTGGGATTATTTCTATATGACTGTGTTTTGATGTTTAAGCTTCTGATATGTATTCTCAATTTTCCTGCATTTAAGCAAATGTTTTGGTGTTGATAAAGAGTCACAATACCTTGGAAGACCCAAAGTCTCCATTCACCTGCAGTATGGTAACTTGTCAGTACAGCTTCATTATTGGCAAAATTCTGAAGTTTTAGTAAAAGTGTGTTTTTCTGTTATTTGAACAGTCCAGTCAGATTATAGTACAGATAAGCCTCTGCATACATGCAGTTATTGTCACCAATCTATTTATTGGATTCAAAGGAAGAATGAAGAGGAGGCAGAATCTGGGGTAACAGAGAAAATTTTTTGAAGTGTATCAATCACTGGAGACGGTAAAAAAAAAAAGCCATGGACATACCAAAGATTTTTGCATGGGGAAAGTATTAGGAGAGTACACAGGAAACAGTTTTTAAATTTACCCAGTGAAGCATCCCTTAATAGCCCTCTAATAAAACTGTAACAGCAATAACAGTGAGAAATATAATTAAATGCAAGAAGTAAACATGTTTTGAAAAAAATACAGACCCAAAGTCAAAGCTTGCCCGTGGGCCATCACCATCTCGCCCTCACTAGCTAGCCCCCAGAGGATGGACACCTTTTGCTTCCATGTCCTTTCCCAGAACTGCTCTTTGACTCTCGCGATGGCTACCAAACAAACCACATATCTACTCTCTGCTGATTTCAGAAGTGATATGAAAAGACTCTTCTCTGACTGCCAATCCATCTAACTACAATTAATATTAATGCATTACACTTGCCAGCAAGGAATTTCATTAGGAAGAAAAAGAAGGTTTTACTTTGATTGACTAGGCTTGGCAGCTGTGGATATAGTTTGCTTTACTCTCATTTTTCATTTAACCTTAATTAATTAATTAATTAATCCTTACAAATAATTAGCAATTGTAATTCATTAATAAAACAGCTGCAATCTGATGATTGCTCCTCAGCCAAGCCTAGGGCTTGAGCCCAGCAGCTGTCACCAGGACTAAAGGCTTCAGGAAAATAAAAATTACACAAGCAATTAGGTGTGTAATGAATCAGAGGATTGTTTGTGTTGCACATGGCATGCTACCTTCCTTAGTGTCCACTTGTGCTGAACTGTAGCAAATAGTGCTGATCCCAGCCAAAGTGGAGATGTTTCATTCTGGAGCCTGTCTGGATATCCAAGGCCATTTCAATGCCGAGGGCTAATGGTGTTGTGTCGCTCACATGCATGTAGGGGCTAAACTTGCTGCACCCTCAGAGTGTGGCTACCCTCCTGCAGACTGGGAATGGTGCCCTGGCCTCCCTAATCCCCCAGACAATGCCCAGTCTTTGCCAGGATGAGCACTAGCCTTGCCACGAACATGTTAGTGATTAAAAAGACTTGGTGATTGATGGCGAGCCTGGAGATTTCCTCACCTGATGTGAGAATTTGAGGTAGCTGTAGGTGCATTGACTCAGTGCAGGAAGTGGCGTCTCCCTCTGAGTAATGGAAAAAAAAATGTATTTATGCTCTAAAAAGCAGAGGAAGTACCTCAGGTTTAGGATTTTATAATTTCTAAGGCAGGAAGTTGGTGAACATGTAGCCAACCTGGCACTGGCAAGCATCCCTAAGCACCGTGGGCATTAATAATAACTAAATCTGAGTGGAGAGCAGTAAAATGTGGTTGATAAAGGAGGCCAGCACAGAAAAAAAAAATGATGAAATGTTATCTTGATAATGGACTTTATCTGTGGAGATTGTTACAGACTCTCTTTGTGGTAATAATTTGCTGCAGTAGCAAACAAGCATCTACTTCACTGTAAAATGAGACATACACCTCCTAAATGGCACGGGATATACGGAGCAGTGCCTGCTGCAGGAGTGCTAGCAAGAGATCACAAACATGTTTGGCCAAAGGAAATAGTGTAAAGTTATTTAGTGTGTCACATAAAAAGGTGACCCTTTGTGCTTATCCAAGGTCTTTTATCACCTAACAGCATTGAACAGTGACAAGGATGTTGTGCTAGTCTGTTCCTTGTAGCCTATCAGCTGTGATAACCATAGAGCAACATCTGTTACTGGGAAAGATGTAAAGGGACCTACCACAGAACTAAATCGAAATAAAATTACATTGTCCCTAGAAACTAAAGCTATTTCAAATGAAAACCACTGGTCTGTAAAAATGAACATTATATATTTGATCCAAAACAATTCTGTTTATCCACAGTATGTATACACCAGTAAATGCAGAACTGGTAACCTTTTTACATTAACACTTATGTTGCTTATTTGTCTCAGTGAATTTTTAGGTAATTTCATGTTGGGGGTCCACTGAGAGTCAAATGAGTAAAAGCTCATGGAAATGTCAAGCAGAACTGTCAGGTTTAACCATATGAATGGTCACTGAAATAGTCAGTGACTTTGGCAAGGGGACACACTCCTCCTTGAGGGGCACTGTTGGGTATGCAGAAACAAGCTTGTCTATGTTTGAAGGACCACTAATCCTCCCTCCTAGCTATGAATAAAGGGTTTGCAATGACTGTAAAGCATTGTGTGGGCATTAGGGCTCCTGATAACTTTGACTGAGGTGCTTGCACCTATTACCTATTCATCCATGGGGTACGTTTCTGAAAAATCAAGCCTATATCCGTCTTTTTCCTATAGACAATGGAATTTTTGGTCCATGGCAAGAGCAATTAACATGGAGAGTTAAATTTTTACTTCAGCCCTTGGTCTTTCTGGAGGATTTGTGCCTCTCACAAACGCTGCCTTGTCCTCTCAGAAACAGAGATGCTCCTGAACGTGTATGGAGCAGGGGGCTCTTGCCCATTGACACCCAAGGTGCATGTATAGAGCAGCCTCAGTGGAAAGCAGGGGAACTGAGGGCATGATTTTCAGAGGGCCAAGTATGTCTTCCCCGCACCTTGTCCCTGCCTTCTAATGATTCCACTCAAAGCAGTACGTAGTCATCATTTCTGAATTTGCATTGGTGCGTTTGCAGAAGCATCTAAGCATTTTGCTTATGAAGAAACTGCAAAGTCACTGGCTCTTGCCAGTGATATTTTAGGTCTGTGCCAAATGGGCACACGTTCTGGATGAGCTAACTTGAAATATAGCGGTGACATATGCAGTAGCAGTTTCACTTAGGGCTGTGTTAGCAGCTTTGCTCTGTGCCATGTTTTGTGGTGATTCTATCTTAGGCAATGGAAGAAGATGGTGGTATTAACAAGTGCCTGGGGGATTTCCTAGCATGAGAACTGCTCAGTTATGCTGCCTCACCCCTGCTCCTTCGGAGTCTCTTAAAGTCTGGCATTTGGTAGTGATGCTGCTGAGAAAACAGGCATATAGCTATTTTTGGGCCTTCAAAGTGGTGAGACGCTGGAAGTAACCTGGAAAGAGGGCACTATTTCTCATCCCTTGCATGGAAGGGCATGTGCTCATTACCTGCAGAAGTCATCACTTAACACTGCTGATATTATTGTTGATAAAATTATTAGATTGTTACTTTCCAGGGAATAAGGAAGAAGTCTTTATCTTGTGTTGACAAAAAATCATTGCAAAAATGTAATTTGACTTCTCTCACTGTGGTCTTGGTCCTCTCTGCCTGACATTTCTTGGGTCTTCTCACCTCCCTGTTTCTGCATGGTTCTCTCCCTGATGCTCTTCAGACTTCTCTGCATCAGAGCAGCACATCAAAAAAGAGATGAGCCCTTGGGTTGTGACAGGAGAGACACGTTTAACTTTCTTGCCATTTAGCACAACTTGCTGTGGCATTGAACTCCATGTGACTGGAAAGTAAACAACTCCAACCCTCAGACAGATATCTGCCAAAACTTTCCTTTCTTATTTGTTTTGGGACTTTGTTCTGCAGGTCCTGTGTGACAGACATGTGCGAGTGCCCAGTCCATAAAAACTGCTACTGCGAGTCATTCCTGGCATATGCCCGAGCCTGTCAGAGGGAAGGGCTGAAAGTCCAGTGGGTACCAGAGCAGAACTGTGCAGGTAAGCATTTTGGGACTGCTTCCTTGTAAGCAAGTGCATAGGCTAATAGGCTACTATCCTTTTGCTGGTGGAGGAGGATCAAAAATGAACCAGCTAGAAAGGATTGGGATTGCATCAGGAGGGAAGTTGCACTCCAAATTATGGAGAAAGGCCTTAGCAGGAGAGATTTTTCAACAATCATATATTAGAAATGTTTATTTTGTTGCAAACATTTTTACCTCTAATGCTGCCTATCTTAATTTTATGTACTTTGGGAAGAAGCACGTGCCTTTCTCTTTCAAGATATGTAAACAGTTGATTACAGATAATACTTAAACTCCTTTGATGTTCTATTAAAACATAGTTATATTTCCAGAGACAACATGCATATATGATTGCAGTAGGTTCAACAAAGAAAGAAGAAAGAATGTATTTCATGGGAATATTAAAATGCAAACCTGCATTAATTTTTGCACTTGGACCAGGTTCCCCATGTCTTTAGGACTGCATTAATTGCAAATAATTGTGAGTAATTGTTTCCATGAGAAGTGCTGGCATGGGCACTTGAAGTAAAATGCAGTATTGCAGATGAATATTTCCCCTGATGATGGTCTCATTAATTTAGGACATTCTATAATGGCATCGGTTTGCCTGGAAATGTATTCAGATTTATGTAAAGCAATTGACAGTAGTTGGAAAAAAAAATAAGAGAAGGATACTCAGTGTTGGTCAAAGAGCTATTACTCTGTGGTCCATTTTGGTGAATGTGTGTGGCTCAGGGTGTACTCTCTCAACTTCAATTTCCTTTTCTGTTGAAGGCACAATAGCAGGGATGGGTGAGTGACAGAGCAAATTACATTTGATTGACTGTTCCCAAAAGGCTCATTTTTTTTCTCGTACAAAGGAACAGAACAATCCAAACAAGGTGTCACTAAGTGAAAGCCCCATTCAAGGATGTGGTCTCAGACAGCACTAGTAACATATGTAATTTTAATCTATTGATCTGGTAGAAGACCCATGCAGAACCTGAAACAAGCATCCTGACTTCTTTTTGACCAAAGCACTTCAGACTGAGACCTGACTTTGCAGATGCTGTAAAAACAATAAAAACTCTAGTCCCTGCCTTAAGGAGTTTATACAAGTGTTGGCATATCACGACTTAACTAATTGAAGCTTCTTTTCACAATTTTTCTGGCACTTTACCAAAGACAAGAAAAGTTTCTAAGGCAAACCAGTCCTTGAGAGAACATTATGAAGGAATTTAAACACACATCTTCCATTAAAGCTAATGAAAGAAGTGTTTAAATCCACCCGAGTTTTTTAATGTCAGTGCAGACTTCTAGAGGGAAAGGGGAAATCTTGTTAAGCAGAAAATACAGATAAACTGTATATGGTCAAGTACCCTCAACTAGTGGCTGCCATCAAGATTTTAATCTTTAACTAACTTTTTTCTCCCCAGCACTTTAGTTACAATCATTGTGTCCTAATTATGGATAGAAGTTCCTGGGCATGAAACAATATATCTGTAATAAAACTTTAGCATTCTGTGACTTTCATTTCCTGCTTGACATTTCATAGCTGGTGGGATACTTGGAAGAGCTGTGTTCTGATGAAAATGGAGTATACTTATTAGTATAGTCAGGTTTTAATTATTCTTTTGTGTGTTATAAAACCAGATCTTGTGTGGTTGCCAGTTCCTCTACCCTGACTGCTGTACACTTAGCTCATTTTTATAATCTTTAGAAAGCTTGTGTTGTCTGGAGGGCCAGTCAAACAGGATGCTCAGGCGGCTGAATTACACGTCCTGTTCCCTAAATGCTCTTCCTCCTCCTCCAGTGTGGCAGCGTATCCTCCTCTAAGTCCTGCATGAAATACTGCTGCTCATGGTTTGCTGTCCTTTGATGTTGGCTCTGTAAGAGGCATGTCAGCCGTCATTTATCCAGAGGGGTAAAGAGAGGAAGCTAATGAGTTAGGAAAATGGTTAGGGTAGGAAAGGGTTGCTGAGATCCGCACAGGAACTGAGAGGATTTGGAAAGGAATATGGGTTTCTATGGGAAGTAGTGGGGAGTGAGATCTGTTAGAATGGGCACGGGAAGAAATAGAATGTGTGAAGGAGAAGGAAAAAAAAAAAAACCAAAACAGGAGAGCCAGCATGAGGAAAAGAAGAAATAAGAGAAAGTGGTACATGTGAGAGGAAAAAGAAAGGATACAAATGGAAGGAAGAGGTTTGAAAAGGAAAGGAGATGGAAAAAACATTTTTTTTAGCCCAAGAAAGGTTAAGCAAGCAGTTTATAAAGTGCAGTCAAGTAAACTGAAGTGGTGAAAGGCTGTGGGCCATACTAATTTAACACTGAATTTCTGAGGCCAGTGAGAGAAAGAAGACTCAAGGATGGCAGATGGCAATAATTCCCTGCCATGGGCATGACTACACAGGCAAGAGGAAAAAGCAAACAAAGATTATAATAAAGTGCAAAGGGAACATGGTAGCACTGATGTGCTGAAATGCTCCAACAGCCTCATAAAAACTGAACAAATTTCTCTTTTTCCTATGTGATTTGTTGAATTAGAGGAGGATGAGTGTATATCTGATTTTGACTCCTCTCCTGGGTTCCCTCTTGTCTGCTGTGGAACTTTCTGGCCAAATTCACTCGTCTTCCCTGTTATATGTTGCTTTCCTTTAATCGCTTTATTCCATGTGAATATGTATCAGAAAGCTATTCTGACGTTTTAGTGGAAACTCAATAAAACCTAAAAGTTGAAAAGATTAACCCGGATGTATCATTAGAAGGTCAGTGCACAGATCTATTGCCTTCTACTATTTTAGAAGGAGATATTGTGAATTGCAAGCATCACAAGTGACATTCAGTTTGAAGGTCCTACAAAACACCTCGAAAGCCCAAACTGTGCAACACCAACAGAATAAGCACGATGATTCATTGATGCACAAATATTAGCTCAGAAATTTCTGTGGAATCAGATTTACCAGATATCATCCACCAGTGTAATCCTTCAACAGTTCCATGTTAGGTATTTTGGCTTTTGTGTTGGGGAACAAGAATTTACCCTAAACAATTATGGCCATGTCTACAAAGACAGGCACAGACAGATACAAGCCTTCTCTGTGAAACTGCCAAACTGGCTGGAATAAACCAGCTCTGGTCTGAAAACTGTATAGCCTTATTAGGCAGGGTTTATTAGCTCAGGCACAGTGCTGTATTTATGTGACTATATGGCTTCTGGACTGGAGCTGGCTATCATCCCGCCAGCTCAGAGAGCGGTCTGAGGAAGCTCACATCTGTCATGCCAAACACATGTTCTAGAAGAAGAGTGGAAAAATCCTGTTGGGACTGGTAACATTGCAAAATGCAGTATTATTAGTAACTTTTGTACTTTGGGGTTGGGTTTTTGATTTTTTTTTGCTAGTGTACTAAAGAAGTTATTACTAACAGAGCTCAGTTCTTTAAGAGAGGAGTTTGCCTTAAAAGACGGGTGCAAAGGCATCACTTCTGTTTTCCATGTTTACATGGTACTGATTCATTTCAGCAGTCCCTGGGAAGCCTACTGCAGAATGTCTTTATTTTTATTTTTTAAACTGTTGATGAAGTGGAATGTTCTGGATCAATCACACCACATGTTAACAACTAAAGCACTCAACAATAAAAGCCATCCAGGGAACTTAAACAGCAGTCATTGTACTTTTCTGATTTTTCCCTTGACAGCAAGTTAATAATGCCATTATAGACTGCCTACAGCAGCAAATAAAGACATCATATCTTCTACATGGCATCATCTGAAGGAGAACGAGGTGTTTTGACATACCACATCCATGTGTGGTAGAGCAGAGCTGGGGAGTACTTACAGATGCCACTGCTGCCAAGGGCAGCCTGTGATATATTCTCATTTGTTCTCAGGCAGAGATGAGGAAGTGGAAAGGAGACCTCGGCCAACTTTCCTCAAACCCACTGGCTGAGGCTCCAAACACAGCTCAGGTGGAACGAACAGGCCGGCTATTACTGCAGTAAAGCTTTGTGGGATGAAACCTGTGCAGCCTAAAGACTGAAGCTCGTAGACCTCTTTATATGGAAACTGCATGTACTGAAGCCTAATATTTCAGTTTGTGGTTGGTTAATTAGAGATCCTCTGAAAGGAAACTTGTTTTCGGAGAGGAGGGACAACAGCTTCTAGTAAACAGCCCCCTTAAGATAATTCACATTGTGTGTGAATCACTATCCGTCTTTGAACATCTTGGTCTACTCCTGGGAGCTCCGCACATTTTTGTTTCCTCTCTTATAGAGATTCAATCTCTATTCTTAACACACTACGTAAGTGCAGAGTTTGTTGTAAATCTTTTTACTACACACTCAATATTGCTAGCATGTTTTTCCCACTTTCTAAATTTCCTGTTTCATTTAAATTTCGTTTTAGTTATTCCTTTTGTTTGTACATTCTTCAATGTGCGTGAAAGTTATCATGCAGAGCAAGATAGAAATGTAAAGCTGGAAAAAAGTTCTCAAAAGATCTGTGCTCACAAGCAGGATCAGCTTATCCTGAACATTGCTGAAAGATGTTTTTTCCAACCTATTCTAAAATTATGTTCAAGAAAAGATGTCTCACAGAGTTTTTAGGTAGCTTGCTCTGGTGCTTTCTCATGCTTAAAGCTAGAAAGCTTTTTTTTTTCCTAATATCTACTGAATATCTACTATTCCGCTATTGATTCTCTGTAGCTCTGGGGTAATTTTCTGTTGTGCTATCCAATTTTTCCAATTTGTTGTTTGCTTATTTAATATCTGTGCCCTGAGAACTTTGTACGCATTCTTGCCAGAATTCCTTCTTCAGGGCTGCTTTTCACATAAGTGCCACAAAATGCATAAAAAGTAAAACTTGCAAGAAGCTGACGCTGTTTTGAAGATCACTTCATTACTGGTGAAAAGGAACCTCTTAAATTTATGATGCCTTAGCACTAACACTTCCATCCTCTGTGATACACTCTTACACATATTTAGTCAATTTATTTCTGCCTATTTTCTCTTTATGAATAATAACAGTACTGTAATGGCACTCTCAGGCCAACTCTCACAACAAAACAACATTTTTCTTTTCATAACAGAACTGTTCTTTGAAAAATCTGGACCTTCAATCTCTCTCAAAGTGGAAGAAACCTTCTTAATGCAACCACCTCTCCCTAAATAGCAAGAGATGATTCTGGATGTTTGAGAGTCCCTTACCATCTATAAACTATTTTATCAGTACTTGTTTTTGCCATCAGCACAGCAGTTAGAAAGAATAACAGGTTTTTATTTGCTATTGAACCATGTATTATTCTCTATACTAAAAAGGCAGGATATAAAATGTTAAGAGTTTAAATATTGATCTGGAGGGGGTATAGTGCTTTTAGCTGAGCCCTCAGTGGTCTCTTATGTTGGAAATGCATTGAACCATCAAGTACATAAATCAAGGAATAGATACTGGAATCATTAAGTACAAGAATCCTCATTCTCAGTCATCCCTTGGTCAAATAGCATAAAGCAGGGAAAGAATTGATTTTTTTTTTTTTTAATTTCACTTTAGAAATGGTGCTGTTGAATTAACAGCAATGTTTTGATTTGCTGCAATAGGCAATTTTGAAAGTATAATCTTAGGAATAGAAAGTCTGATGTGGTGAATGACTCTACTTCTTTCTGTAGAAGTGGGACTGATAATAACTGCCTGTCCTTGTAAATGTTTGAGGAATTTTTGATAAAAGGCATTGTAACAAATTAAAAAAAACAATGTTAAGGCTTAAATACAAAGCATAGATCTGCTTATAGATAGAAACCTTGGCAAAGCTTTATATACCATCAGCTGTGTTAAAATTCTCAAAAAGTTCAAGACTGCTAGGAACTTGATACCTTTTTGATTAGGAATATTGCTACCTTTATATTTGTGATGTAAAGTAGTGTTGCATTTAATATAGTGGGATCTCTTTACAAGTAATTTTTGCCTCTAGATGATCATCATACCAAAATGTGCTTTTTGATATTTGCAGTAATAACCAAGCAAATAGATACGTAACTTTCCTTGTAAGACTCTGTGTAATATGTGTATTTTGTTCCTTTTTAACTGTCTTTCAGCAACCCAGTGTAAACACGGTGCAGTTTATGATACCTGTGGTCCAGGATGTGTCAAAACATGTGACAACTGGAATGAGATTGGCCCATGCAACAAGCCCTGTGTTGCAGGGTGCCACTGTCCAGCAAATTTAGTTCTTCACAAAGGAAGATGCATCAAGCCAGTCCTGTGCCCACAGCGATGACATTAGTTCTCTTTCTGTGGACACTAATGTGGGTGGTCACTGACCCCTTTGATGCTCGAAGCCAGTGAAGGACTCCAGCTATTTGTGTGCAGATTCTGCAAAGTACCTGTCTACTCACAGAATGTAAATATGATCCTGTGTGTATTTATGTGTGTTTATGTATACACACATGGCACCTAGAAAGATATATAAATGTATACTGTGTGTATGTAGACACACATATCTATACACAAGTGCCCTAAACGTAAGTACAACCCATATATTTATATATGTTCACACACACAAATATACATCATTTCTATATATCATAGAAGGATGAATTGTTATATGTATATTTTTTGCTATAAAGTTTATGTATTATTATTTTTAGGACCCTGATCTGTAAGTCATTGTATAAATAAACCAGGTGTTTTTAATATAATAGAGTGGCATGAGAAGATTGGATGACTTTGCCATTGCATAAGTTTTGTCGTTTCCAAGGAAACTTTTCTAGGGCCATAGCACTGCCAGACTGGATTAGTTTCAACATAGAACCTGGATTTACAGTCGTTCAGGAAACACATTTCTCTGGAGATTGAGGATTTATCTAGGAATATTTCATGCGTATCTTAAAGCTGCATAGTGATTGGTGACAGTGCTTAATCAGGCAGAGAAAGATGGGGATCAGCTTTTATGCTTTACTGAAATAACTGTGCAAAAGGATTTCCAAAGCTGGTTGGCCAACTGCCAGCATAGAGATATTTCTTTCTGGAATGGCACCAAAGAGTCAGGGGCCAGATTTTCAAAAGTGTTTGGCACCCAGCAGCTTGCTTTGAAAATTTGACCACTTCCCATTTCATATCCTAATGCCCCGTCTCTGTTGTTGTGTTTGGCAGTAGCTGTGAATACACAATCAGGACCTTGAAGAAAATATTCATGTACATATTAGCCCCTTTAACATGTTTGAAACTGCTGTGCTTGTTTCATATTTCCCCCAAATATTATGCAGAAAGCAAATCCCCCTGTGAATTGGAGGGTTTGATTTAAGTGTCCCTTCAAACATGAAATAATGCCAGGTTTAGTAACTCATTTAATTTATCAGCATGGTTTAGAAGACAGACAAATTCACCCCACCAAAAAAACAGTAGAGAATGTCGAATGCTAATTGGAGAACTGGAATTTATTTCCTTACTGGTCTTTTGCTTGAGGTTTATGAACATGTGGGCTCTGTGAAGTTTGCATGACTTTTGAAGTCTCCCAGGGGAGAAGCAATAATATGGGGTTTCATTAGAAACTGTTAAAAAAGCCATACAACTTTCTCAAGCCTGAGGAGAGGGGGGGCTATTTTTCTTCCACTGGAAAACCTCTTGTAGAGCCTGATGGAACGGTCTCCAGAGATGACAGAAATCTTTGGGCATCTGATTTAGGTTTATAACGAAGTAATATCCTCCCACACAGCTACTTCCATTATGCTTTGCATTGAAATTGCACATTGTAATGCTTTGAACAATTTTCTCCTTTAATTGTTCACTCACCAGGAAGATCGCAGGTCTGAGTTTACAGTGAGTGAGTGGGTGCAAAACACTTGGCTTATACAACCTGTCTGCAGTCCTGTCCTGGAAGAAGATGCTGAACGAGCCTGGTTAGCTTAGCCACCACACTATTGAAAATGCTGCACTACCACAGTGTTAAAAAGAGCTGGGCAAATAATGTCAGGAGCATTCCATGGATGTTTATCCAAATCTTAAATAAACTCAGCTTGATCTTTTTACATCCCCTTTGTGTTCGTTTTCTCGGAACAATCAAATAATTTGGTTTTACTGGCAGAGAGGGTTTCGAAGCCCCACACACAAGTGCACTGGGAAGCAGAATTGCAAATGTGCAGATCTCGTCAGAGCAGGAAGCTAGAAGAGTTTTATGTGGCTCATGTGATAATTGAATGGCAAAGCTGGAATTTAGAACAATTGCAATTGGTCCAAGGAGTTAAAACATAGAATGGCAGTCATTAAAATAATTTAAAGCATCCGTTAGACCAAAGAATATTTCAGCCTGTGAGCTTTTGATGCTGAGATATGGGGTCTAAGCCTTAAAAAGGTTATTTGCTCAGCTCTAGTTTAGGATAGATTTTCATTACTGATAGATTTTCATTACTTACTGCTCAGTGTTTCCAAAATAAAAAAACACACAAAGTGAATTGCATACATGAACGGTGTATAGAACTGTCCTTCGCTTTTCTTCTCCTGACTGATGAAGGTGAGTGAAAGGTGAAGGGAGAGCCCTCCAGCTCTCTCGGTCCACTGATCGCATTCAAGCTACACTTAATTGACGCCAGGTGAAGAGTGACAGTCTATCTGCAGAAGGAACTCTATTTTTAAATCTTAAAATGGTTCAGTTTGAAACCTGACCTACAGGTCATCTCAAAATGAGGACTCATTCCTTGGTTTAGCTTTTTCACATCTGCCTAATTAAGGGTAGCCCCCTGAGTTTTGCTTTAGTGATGTATACTGAGGAAGAGGAATGTGGTTTTACCTCTGAGCTGTCTGATTGTGCCCTTACGGTGCTGTAGAGCTTTTTCCTCCAAACTCCACAGTTTTCAAGGCAACAGTAAGGGCTATCATCTGCTCGGTTCACATGGACAGTCTAAGGTAAAGGAGTTCTGCTTTTCTAGAAATTGCCCCCAAGTTTCAACTTGGCACAGGTTTTATATCCGTATCTGTAGTTACCCTGTGCCCAACTGAGCTATTCAGACCAGATCAGTCCCAGCTGGGGCTGTCTCACTCCACTCTCCTGTTTGCCTCTCTTCTTCTGGACTTTTCAAAAGTTGAAAGTCTAGCCCAAATAACATCAATAACAGCATTACCACAGGTCTCATAGAGTTTGGGTTGCAGCCCACCTTCCTGCTTAGTGCAGCATTCTTTGTTATTCTGCTGTCTTGGCTCATGAAATATTACCCCTAGGATGCTAGAACTGGAAACTTCCTGCGTATTGCTGGGGATTTATTTTTGACAAAGTTCACTGATAATCCAATTTTAGTATGCTAAATGTGTTTAATATGCAATAATGTGCTTTTAATAATAACATAAGATTGATAATCCATATGGTTTATTCACCATGCAAAACTGATTGTTGTTTAAGTTTTGGTCTTGATTATACTTATGTCAATCTATGCATATAACTTTGTGCCAATTTGTAAGCTGAAATATATTTGAAGGACCAGAGGTTCCAACCAAAGAATGATCCAAAAGGAGAGTCTGAGAAACAGCTCTGTAATTCAATGGATGGAATCAAGGAAAGCCTTGGATCAATAGCTTCGCCATTAACCTGCTATGTGCTCCCTGGCAAGTCATTTAATATTCTGTACTTCATTGGGGAAATGAGGCTCTGGGTTTATGCATCTTTTTTAAGTTTAAGGATAGAAAATGTTCTAAAATGCTAAATGTCACCAGGGGAATGTCAGCTGATATTTTACCAATCTACTCAGGTCTGCTTTGCATCAGCTTATCCCGTATCTCCCGTATCATCATTGCTTCAAAGTCAGCTTTTCGTTGGCATACATGGAGGTTGAATACATTTACTTCCTCCTCATTTACTTTCAATTATGTCTATTTTTGTCGTATATATTGACTTTTATAAACCATGGAGACAAGCCATAACCAAGCAGAGCAATTTGAGTTGTAGCCCAAGACTCTGCCGGTACTCCCACATCTTCCAAGAACACCTTTCTTCTATAAAGTATGGTATGCACTTGGAGCAAAAAAGGAAAAGATTCTTAATATCCTACCCAAATGTGACCCCATCCTTGCATTATGTAAGTAGTTTCCAGTAGATAGCCTAAAAGGAGTAAGTTCTTATCAGAGGCTTTTCTGCTTTTTTTGAACCTGGGATTCAAATACAGTTCAACACTGCTTGGTTTCCCACTGACAGAAGCCGACACTTGCAATAGTTGGGCTGGTCTTGAGTGACTGTACAAGGGTACTTTTTTTTTTTCCCTTCATCAAAAGTGGACAAGGTTATATGAGAGTGAACCAATAAGAGAATAACAGCCCATGTATTTGCAGCTGGACAGGCTGGAAAGAGAGGCAGTCAACAGCATTTAGCACTGAAGTGGTGAGATGTTTCAGGTATTTCAGGAACAGTCGTGACCAAGGGGGGATTATGCCAAGGTCTCAGTATTTGACAAACAGGAACTTTGCATTACATAACACTGATCAAATGCTTCTGCTGTTCCTGATCTTACCCTTTTAGAAAGCCCTGTGGCAAGAGAGATGTTTCTGCTTCCTTACAGAAACATTTCTAGTCTACGACTGCAAATTTTTCAGGACAAAGGCCTAACTTTGCTGCCATTACGGAACTCCTTCTCTCACTGTGTAAAGGTTGTTGCGCAGATTAGTATTTCTAGTGCAATAATCACCATGACACCTGAGCACCAAACGGAGTCTGTAACAACAAAATAAGGCTCTCCTATGAACATGAGGTAGCTTTTGAGCCTTCAGATGGCCATGGCACTGTGTTTGAATGAAGATGGTACAATACTGTGAGGAAATAAAGACGCAGGATGACAGGATAAGGGTAAAAGGCAAGTGAGAAAGAAGAAAGTAGTAATAGGATTTTTTTTTCTGTGTGGATATTTTCCCTCTAAATGATAAGAGCTAAACTGAAAGTGTTCTCTGACAAAGTACATCCATATTCCCTCAGCACATACTCCCTCAGCAAAAAACACCCCCACCAACCACCCAAAAACCCCAAATTAACCACAACAGAATCTTATATTGAGATCTGAATAGAACAGGTATATACTGGTAGGTATAGAAATCCATAATTAAAATAAAGTTAAAAGCTTCTATTCCTACTTTTCTCATAACCCTTAAATCACAGTAGAAGTTGTCACCAAAGTTAAGGAAAGGGATCTTATTTCCTGGGCTGATGCAAACATCTGCAGAATTTGGTTCTCGTGCTTCCACTAGCACAAAAAATCTGTTTTGGTTTCCTCCAGGATATGTTTTAGTGAACACACATCATTTCCCAGCCTACAACTGTCAGAACAAAGGCTACAAATGCACTTTTATAACTAGTCTTGTTCCTGACTTTGAGATAAAATTGCAAATTCTCCTTACTACTAGGAAGGCACACGTTTTCTTGTTGACAACACCGCTTTTGTCAGGCAGCAACGTTGCTCAGCATCAAGCAGCATCTGAGAAACTCTAAGCAATGTTAAATATGACATGTAGCGTCTGCTATTTGCATGACTTTACCCTTTTCATTGCGAGTTATGAGTTAATGCTAGCCCTGCACACAGGAGGAAGTTGGCTTTAATGGAGCATGTATGTGTGGTGGGAGAGGGGTGGCACTGTATAATTACCATTATCATTGATAGCGCTTTGTATTTCCCTAAGTGATGCTTATATATGGACATCAATATAATTTGGTTTTGCACATGAAAGT